TTTAACACAACTACATATACAAACGCATGCATCCAAATATATATTAATACTCAAAATTTTAAAATATTTATTTTTTTTTATCTTTATGAGAAATTGTCTTACGAGAAGTATTATACTTTTCTTTCAATGAATTATTTATTATTTATCAGTTTATTAATTTTAATAAAATTACACTGAAAATATGAGTGTGAATATATTTTCAACTATCATCTACTTAATATTTGGCTTGAAGGTTAAATAAATCCTCCTAGTGCCCATGTCCATGTCTGCAGTAAAAGCAAATTCAAAGCACATTTGAGATAAAGAAATTTCGGCTCAGCGATTAAAAACTTTATTGTTACTAGATAAATAGTACATATCACAATATTCCGAACACGTTCTCTTGCAAGAGGTATTGAAATATTGCTAATCTCTCTATCAACCTGTTAAAAAAAATAATGAAAATAAAGCAATACATTTGAACTTCAATTAGCAAGTTTCTATTTATTTTCAATTGTTATTTTCAAAGCGCGTTTCTCGGTATGTAAAAGACATTCAATAGTGTCTCTCTCTCTCCCTTACGTGTATATATATATATATATATATATATATATATATATATATGTGTTTTGTATGTGTGTGTGTGTGTGTGTGTGTGTGTGTGTGTGTGTTTTTGGCAGAAAATTCACTTTTAGGCATGTCTTATTGAATAAGTTACATTATGTCTGCTAATTTTTAATAAATCCGTTCATACTCACGAATAGTTTTCCTTGTATTGATGTTAATGGATTAGAGAAATATGCTATTTTGTTTTAATTGATTTTTTATTTTATTTTCCTAAGTACTTTCGATCTTCTTCCAAGATCATCATCAATATATTTGCAAAAAGTAAAAACTATATATTTGTTCATTGGTATAAGTATTTATACAAAGAAATGCCTTTGTTATTCATTACCGTAATTTTTTCATTATGCTTTAAATGCAAAAAGGTTGACAATGTACTGATCGTTCATTAGTATGTGAAAATATTATCCATTATGAAATTTTTCCTTCTATGTTATAATATCATGCTCACGCACTAATTACTGGCAGTATTCATAGCTGATTCTGTTCAGTGTCTTCAGCTTTTATTTTTTTAATATGAATCACATCTATTATCTGTAATGTAAATTTGATGTTTAATATATATATATATATATATATATATATATATATATATATATATATATATATAATCAATGTATATTTGGGCACGAAAAACAATCTTTTAAACATCTTTTTTGTTAAATTTTTTTTTTACGAAGAAAAAACATTGCATTAATTTTGCATATATTTTTTTTTAGCGTTCTTATACTTTTCATCTGGCTGGAAGTGAGGTGTGCAAAAATTCTTCATATCCGCCATTTTCTCAAGCTTTCGCCCAATTCCTTAGTCATTGTCAAGAAGGGTTTGTTTTGCTGGGTTTTTTTTTGTTTTTTTCCATATTTTGATTTTGACTTAATGTACTTACTATTTTTTTTTTTTTGAAATTCGCTCACTCGAATTCCAGTGGTGCCCAACGCGTGATGGCTCAGAATAAACGTACGTACTTGTACTCAAAAACTACAAAATATATTGATGTCATTATTATAGAACTCCAAATGTCAATATGATCTGAACATTAATTAATTTCTCCTAAGGTCTAGCTAAAAGCGAATTAGCTTTGGTGTTTCGTTAAGTTCATCAGTTAAATTCATAAAAGCTAAAACGATGAACTTAACTAAAACAGCAAAAAATACAATAATTCATCACACCCGAGCCTGGATTATATTTTAATAATTTGAAAGATTTTCCTCTCAGTGTTAAAAATATTTTTTTTTATATGTTCTGGATTCAAGTTAAACCAGACCTCCAAAAACACATATATACGATACATCGCCATATATTTTGGAAATATAGTCAGTTTGTTGAATTTTAAGAAAATACTCCGATTCATCATGCTTTATCTTACAAAAATAAGGTCAGACAAAAAAATTAAATGGCATATTTTGGTCATATCTGTTCTGATGCGGCCTAATACTCACTTTATCACTTTAACAAAGTCTTTTACGTTGCCTTTTATGTATGACGTAGATCACCATTTTTTGCCGCCTCTATCACCCAGACGCAACGTCACAACTCACTGATAATCTATCGTTATTTACATAGACAATGTTTTGAGGAAATTCATTCTTTTGTTCCACTAATTCAGAACAGTACAAGCTAATAATGTTCTTGCTATGCCCAAAACTGTGGAAATGCATAAACAAATTGATCACGCACACACAGACATATATACACACACACTTTTTGAAATTGATAGATATAGAAGATTTACGAAAAATTAATTTTATATTTGCATACATTTTTTTTCTAATATTATTTTATTTTTTCATGTACATTACGTTTAATATTGTTCATATTTCCTGTACTGTACATCTGAATTGCTCATACTACAATGGACCTTATGTCTAATATTGCTCATATTTCCAGATATAATATATCTACATATTGGTATGTACTTTATTCTAACATTGCATGTTTTTTTCTTCTTTTTTTTTTCTACCAATGTGCTCCGTCTCGTCAGGACGCGGTGGGGAATTGCTATTTACAAGTCCCTGTCCTTTGTTTTTATATTAAACTTTGTTTTTTGATATTTCTCTTAAACCTTTTTCTTTACAATTTTAGCCATGCTCTTTAAAAACTTTCTGGTAGTCCCATTGCCTCAATATACCCCCTGAGTGATAGATTGTCTAAGCCCCCTGTTCTCATTTTTATGCTCAAGAAATGTATACTATCTCTTCCTGATGTTCAGTATATGTATCCTTCTTTGTTTCCATTTTCTCTAAAACTCCCGTCTGCCTCATTTGTTTAGTTCACAGCATCTTAAGCATCCTTCTTTAGAACCAAATCTTTTTTTATCAAGTCTCTTCTTCAACTGCGAGGAGATTTCCCAGCATTCATATTTGCAACTCAGAAAGATTTTTTTTACATAACATTTCAGTATTCTTTCTTTTCCTTAAATACACATGAATAAGTCAGTAGAGATGTTAGTTACGACTACAAACAAAATATAAAAGCCAATATCCGCTCACCTTGTACACGGATATATTAGAATAACTGTCTGGACGTTAATTTGTTCAAAACTAAACTAATTGCTTATTAGAACCAGAATCAACCACCAAAAATAATTGAGTTTCATAGTCATTATGGATGCAGATTAGAAATAATCAAAAAAATTGACTTGTCCAAAGTAAAAATTGTCCATTATTTTTTTTTTTTCTAATTTTTATCAGGCTCAGTGACTGGAAGCAAAATCGTTTTAAAACTTATTTGCCTTTTAATATTCACTTTATTATTTACTATATTATTATTTATTGTTTATTTTTATTCTTCTTATTTTTTTTATTATTTATTTTTATTATTTTTTTTTATTTTTTTTATTATTTATAATATTATTTAATTTTTATTATTATTTTTATTATTTTTAGTATTTATTTTTTATGACTGCGACTATATCCATTACCGCTGCCACCATGTATTTTTATAAGGAATGAATACACGTAACATCTTAGGGTCTAGCCAGCTTGCTACATTTTCCAATCACCATATGCTTTTTTCACCCTACCTCTCAGATCCCTTTTCTACCTTGTTATTGGAAAGCTAGGAGAGATAATCATATGACAAGACCCAACCAGGCTGGCATTAGTGATGAACTATGGCAGGCAAACTTAACTAGGCCATCATCAGTGATACCATGTCACTTCCATCAACAGTGATGCCTTTGGCTAACAGCAGCAGCAGCACAAACCCAAGATTGTGCTTGATGGAGAGCTAAATGAACTCTTAGTCTCCCACAACTGATATGCAATCCCCCAGGATGAACAAATGAACATTGTAGATCATGAGAAATAAAAACTATTAGATATCTGAAAAATGTTTTATCTCCATTAGTTTTGTTACTTCATTTCTTTTTTTTTTTTTTAAATGGTAAAGCCACTGTTACAATTTGGTGTTCCACACTGGAACACCAAATTGTAACAGTGGCTTTACCATAATGCAAACTATGGTAATAATAACTGATATAAAGCAACGCTGTGACCTGAGTAATGCAGCAATTCCTCAACAAACGCTAGTTCCTCTCATTCCCTATGGAACATTGGGTGACAAAAGATATCAGTTCCTCACTCAGCTTGTCAATTGCATCCACAACACATGACCAATCATATTGCACTGCTGCACTGTGATTCTGTCTTGCAGATTAGTTTAACCAGATTTCTCCATGACCTCTTTGTTAGTTATGTAGTCTCACCATGAGATCCCAAGTATGGTCCTCAAGCATGGAAGACATTTACCCTCTGGCAGATTTTGCTAGTTTTCTTCCATTTCCCAATGACTGCCATTGATATGACAATACAATACCTTGGCTGAAGGAACTGCTAGACCATAGTGGTCTCATACATTGGAAAATCCCTGCAGGTTTTCCAATTCTTTGCTCCACATCTTTCGCTGAGTTACCATTATGTGAAATATTACTTCCTAGATAAGTGAATTCTTCAACAGATTCCAGTGCCTAGTCATCCAACAAGACTGATTGTTTCTGGGCTTCCCCAATAACCATCACTTTGATATTCTCTTTGCATATCCAAAGATAAAACTTGGAACTGTTGCTGTTGAGATTGTTGGTCATACCTTACATGACAAGTGTTGTGGCACTGACCTGTCCCAGATCATCTGCAAAGTCTACATCCATTATCATTTCAGGTCTCCATTTGATTCCATAGGTTGGGTCTCCCATAGACTTTCTCATGACAAAATTCAAAACAAGCAGGAACAGAAATGGTGACAAGATGCATCCCTCCAAAACACCTGTGATAACACAAAACTTCTCAGTGTTGCTTGCACTCATTCTGATGTGGATGTACCATGAAAGAATTTCATATAGTGCAGTTATCTTCAAGAGGGATTCTCTGTGCACATTGACTTCGAAATGGCATTCAACAATGAAGTTTGGCCACAAGAGGCTGCAGGAATTCAAGGCTCTGTTCAATGATATTACAGAGTGTAAGGATTTGTTCACTGCATGACTGTCCTCTTCAGAAATTGGCTTGTTCTTGTAGATGTTCATCAACCAACATCATCAGTTCAATTGTTTACTGCAAAACACTTTGCCAGGAACAGATAGCAGTTATACCATGCCAGTTATTGCAGTCACTAAGAGCTCCTTTAAGCAGTGTAACAATCATAACCTCTTCTTGGTCCTTTGTTACCTCTTCATCCTGCGATATCAATTTGAAGAGATGGGTCATTTCCTCACTATGACTTGGTCATTTACACAAGCCAGGGTTAAACAACTCAAAATGAGCTAAGAATTCAGCTGCCAGTATTTGTCCATATGAAGAACAAAACTGTACTGGACTACACAACAAACATGTGCCACTGGCATCATACACATTACAACACAACAGGGATCTGTGTTACAATTTGCCACATTCTCCAAAACTACATAGAGATTCTAAATTAGTACAAGGAAATTGTACAACCCTTCAAAAACACCATAAAAACAACTACAACTAGTGAATTCTCACTTACGAAGTTTGTCCCCACACAGATACCACTTTGCTAAAAAGGAGTTTAACCAAATACTATGCAAAGGAATCATTTATTTTATATATATATATATATATATATATGATCCTTGCATGGTAAGTGCCAGACTAGAAAGAAATTCTTTTTAGACATTATACTAAAGATGCACTTTATAATGTCTACTTTTATCGTAACAGTTACAGCAATTAAAATCTAATAAAATCACTCAAACTGCAGATTATGAATTACTTTGGGTTGTATGTTTATTGAACAATCTCATTATTTCCCATTTTTATTTTGTAATTCACAATTTATTGTATCTATTAGTTATTAACTAATGATTTGAATTGCTGTCAAGTTAGAAAAAAAAAAAATGACATGAAAATCATGTTTATTCATGTTTGGTTCAATACTTTATAATACAAAAAATAAAATGAATTCAAACACAAAGGAAAAGATGTAGACCTTTGACATATGTAGCAGTATACATAAAACAGAAGAGAATGATGGAAGGAGAAAAAAAAAGATCTCAGTGATATAATGCAGAAGTGGCCATTTGCTTTACTTACATTTAACAATTTCTTATTTTCCAGGTATTAGACCCTAACTATGGTTTCTATATTTGGCCATGTGCTCCAGTTTTAGCACAGTATGTGTGGTTCTTTCGAGAAGAAATAAAAAGAAAGCATATTTTGGAGGTAAATGTTCATCTTTTCATTTAAAGTGAATTTTTTCTATTTTTTTTTTTTATTTAGGGTCATCTTCATTTGGAAATCATTAGCAGTTTACATAGCAAAAATACTGAACACACACATTTGAATTCACATATGAAAAATAAACTGATACCGTTTTAAAATTAAATGTCTATCATAAGTGAATAAATAAAACAACTTCATAAATTGATTATAGGTTTTATTTAAGAGCCCTTAGAGTTTGCAGTCCCATATAGTCTTTGTGATGATGAAAAATACACTGAAAATATTTTCAAACCCTTCCATTAACCTTGATATTTCATATACAATGCAAAGGAAAAAAAGCACACAAAATGAAAATTAATATAAAAACTAGGTTCATTACCTGCAGACTTGAAGCAAGTTTAGCTAATCAACATAAAAATTATCACAAACACTTAAACTGTTAAAAATTGAATTAATGTCAAACAGAGCTAACTTTACAGATACAAGAGTTTACCAAATAGAATGTAAACAACGCCCCCCCCCCCCAAAAAAACCATTCAATATTTTAACAAAAGAATGTACAAACATAAAAGTAACTTTGAATTAAACATGCTCAGTGCACTTGTGTACCATTGAAACTTTTGACCTGGAAAATATTTTTTTTAATAAAAAGCAAATATAATTTACTCAGATACATTGAAAGTTATTTATGATCAATATACAACTGAGCTATTTCCAGAATTTACTAAATTAATATTTTGGGATACATAAACCTTGAGAAAGAAAAAAATAAAAACTAAGTTGAAATTAGTTAAAATCTAATTTTTATAATGATACAGTTAAAGTAAAACTTTACACGCTTAATAGTTTAGCATGAATTATGGTTTGTCTCACTAATGTAAATTTTATTTTTGTGGAATTATTTTTCTGTTGATGCCTATTCATTAGCAAAACATATCAAAGTAGACATTTTTCCAAATTGTCCCACTTATCATTCCATTGGATTCTCATCAAACTTTACTCACATAGCACAAATAGACATCATTCTTTGTGGTAATAGGTAAAAAATAAAAATACACAGACTGTTGGGGACAAGGGTAAAATTTAGTAAATCAGTGTAAATACATAAAGTTACAGAAATGTTCATACGCTGGCGAAAATAAGTTCAAGACTGATGGTTAAAGTTTTATTCATTTCAGAATATGTTTCTAATAATGCAATATAAATATATAAATTAGTTTTATTGTGTACGCTTTATGCAGAATTTATTTCTCTTTCGACTGATGTAAAAAAAAATTTGATATTTTTCTACAACTTGAAAACTTTTAATGCTCGATTAATTTAAATTATCCAAATCTGCTAGCAAAATAAGTTTAAGACTGCATGGGTATTATGCAAATTATTTGCTAAATGGGTGGTCACATGGCTGGTTATTAATGCATTATATAGTGTAGGTACCTCCACGAGATCACTAAAAAAAGAGCATAGCATGATGAAAAAGACACCAAACTTGACGAAAACAAAATTTTATCTTCTAAATGTTTGTGTTATTATTAAGAGGAAAGATCAAAGTAGTTTTTTACATTTTTTAATCATTCCTAGAATGTCCAATATTCGTTAAAAATCTTTTTTGTTTTGAGAAAGCAAAATTGACCATTTTTTTCCATAAAAACTGGAAATCTCATTTTGAAATTCTTTTAAATATCAATTATCATTTTTTCAAAACTTATTTTAAGAAAATCAGAAATTATAATGTTTATTTAAAATATTTTGAGCTTAGCTTAGCTTAGCTTATGCGCCAAAAAGATGTCATTTGAAAATAAAACAAAGCAGGTCATAAACTTTTGCATCACTTGACAGGTGATGATGGACATATATTTACGAATTCCGTGAGGATAATTTGTTCTACGGAAGGAGAAAAGTGAAATAATTAAATTTCGTGAACAAATTATTTACCTAGTTATTTTTCAAAACTTTCAGTGGTCTAATTTTTTTTTTTTGTACTTAGCTTTCACCGTTTATGATGCTTTATGGGAAAAATATTAAAAAAATTAAAAATAAGACTGTTAAGAGTGAGATTAAATTTCATATAAAAAAAGGTATCTAATTAATTTATAGGTACCTTTCTTATGAAATTTTATCAGAAGTGTACATAAAATACTATAATTTTATGTACATTTATTACATTTTACTGTGTTATTTGTATTTCCATTCATTTTATTATTAATTTTGATATTTCATTTATGGAAAAATGTCATAACTGAGATTAATATAAAAATAAGATCATATAAATTTCATAAGATGATACTGATACTTGTAGGTACCCTTCTCAGTTGAAATTGAAAATCAAATTAACTTCTCCACACGTGTTTTTAAAAAAGTAAAGGCCTTAACAGCTGAGAACAATGTTTTAACTCAAATAACGCAACTTAATTGTATTCTGGTTGGTCTTCTGTATTTTATAATTACAGCCTGATTATAAACACAAAATTACATTTCTTAATTACTGGGGATCTTCTGATTAGTCAAAATGATACAATTTACAACGCGCTAAAAAAAAATCTCATAAGGAGACTTAGGAAACCTGATGTGGCTTTTAACTAATTTTATAATATTTTAAAAACTTAAATGTAAAAATCTATTATAATTAATGAAATAACAAATAATTGTATTAAAATTCATTTTCATCGAAAAAATTTTTTATTTTTCAGAAAATATTGTCATATTCAAATTCAAATAAAAGCATTTGAAATTAAATAATATCTTTGTTTTATTGAGTTTTGTATGTTACAATTCAGAGCTGATTTTCAGGTATTGGTATCCAAAAAAAACAAAAAAAAAATGATTTGCATTCCTCAAAGCCCTAAAATTTTTTAACTATTGTAATCACTAAAGTGGACTCGATCGAATTTCTAGAGTTTTTAAAATTAGTTATGGGGGGTAATAAATATAAAAAAATATTTCTGCCATTACGTTAAAAAAAAAAAACATTTATAATAATTTTGATCATCTGTGAATAGTTCCTGAAAGTTTCATTAACATCCGACAATTATTTATATTTTTGCAAGATTTTCCAATTTAATGTGTCATACCAAAAAAATGTGCTAATTATTGTCTGTTATTTACTAGTTCCGCTGATACAAAGGTTTTTTTTTTGTTTGTTTTTTTTTTTAAAATCAAAATTTAGAATGTTCTAAAAAGGAAAAATTTTTAAAAATAATTAAAAAAAAACTTTGGTCTTTCCTCTTAATAACAAGCATTTAGACGATAAAATTTTGTTTCTGGCAAGCTTGGTGCCTTTTTCATCAAGCTATGCTCTTTTTTTAGCAATTTCATGGAGGTACCTAATATACTGTAATATTTGAGCATTGTTATACAATTAATTCACTATAGGAAATCATCGTAGTCTTAAACTTGTTTTTGCTATTTAGTGTAAAAAAAAAAAAAAAAAAAAAAAAAATCCTTCTTTTAATAATACTTGATTATTCTTATAAAAATAAACATGAAAGATTTGTATCATGATTTTGTCTCTGAATAAACTGAAGCATATTTATAGGAAAGAAAAAAAATGTACCAGTGGGATAGAAATGATAAATGCAAAATTAAATCCAATTATCAGTGTTGGAACAAAAGTTTGTGGTGTTTTTCAACAGGTCATTTCTTTTCGTTTCAACTAAAATTTGCAATATATATATTCATATTCTGAGTGTTACCATTTCATCTTCTTTATGATTCATGTGTGGATTGAGAATTTGAAATGTTTTTACATAATAGTGAAAATGCAAAAAAAAAAAAAAAAAAAAAAAAAAAAAAAAAAGAATTTATCATTTGATGCTATTTTATTTCTGAAAAGGGAAACCACTGTAAAAACAGTAAAAAAAAGATATGCAACATTTATGGAAATGATGCCATAGCTGAGAATAATTTGTCAATTTTCACTAGGTTCAGAAATGGAAATTTTAATCAGACCAAGAACATTCAAGCAGGCCTGCAATCACTGATGATGACCAAATCAAAATGCTAATTAAAGATATTTCAATTCACATGGGATCAGAGATACAAATATCTTTCATTTTTTTTTTTTTTATATATATATATATATATATATATATAAATATATATATCATATATATATATATATATATTTTTTTAATAGCATTTAAAGACATTTGAAAACACTTGGATACATGAATTGTTAAAATGTTTAGGTATCTCAGAATTTAATGGACAGTTCTATCTTTTTATTTGATTGGGAGAAGATGAAATGAACAACCATTAACCACTCCAAAAGCCATTTTGCATCAGATGATATGTAACTGGTGGGATTGGGAAGTATTATGAGCTCCTTCTGCAAAATCAGATGTGTGCTAGTTGGGCACATTAAAGACAATTGATGAAAAGCATTTGGAATTAGCTAATCAGAAGGGTATCATCTTCAGGATCTCTCTCTGCAGATCTGACAGAAATTGGAACAGTTTGACTGGGGATATCTTACTGCATCCTTTATATACACACCTGTGGATTACCAAATATTTTGATTTCAATAAAATTCTTAAATGGGATGAACTAAAATTATATGTAAGCTTGTAAAAAAACACTTAATCACCCAGAAAGATACTAATTTCTAGAAGGAATCGATCCATAAAACTCCCCAAGATGATGAAAGGCAGTGGAAGTAACATACATGTAATTGAATAAATCTATGTACACACATCTAAATATTATCTATGAAATTCACTTTAAAAAAAGGCCACAAACTTTTTACCTAATAGATACATTTGTGTCAATGTTTATATTTTCCTGTGTCTGATGAATAACTTTTCCATTACACCAAATTTATATTTTAACTTTCAAAAGGTTTTGTCAAATAGTTTAATTTAGACACTCTTGAAAAATTACAATAGTAAATTGAAAAGAACACTTTTATAACCTGTAAAAGTGCATGAATCTATAAATTAGTGGTGAATGGACAGTAAAATAATTTCAGCCTACCCAGATACATTGTTTTAGTTTAAAATTTTGAATCTCTTTCAGCTTAGTGCTGGTACTGCACTTCCAGGAATTGTAGCCTCAAAATGTAACGCAGCATCTGTGACTCTCAGTGAGCATATTCTTTCCCCAAACTGTCTAAAGCACTGTGCCAATTGCTGTGCCACCAATAGTCTAGATAACTTACCTGTGATTGGAATTACTTGGGGACTTTTCTCACCTGAGCTACTCAGCCTTCCACCTATGGATATCATCCTGGTTTCAGACTGCTTCTATACTTAAAAAAAAAAAAAAAAAAAAACAAAACATGCATACTAATATCCACTTAAAAATTTAATTTTTTTTTTTTTTTTAAAAACTCATTCTTAGGTTTTCACCAGAAATTACTCATTTTTTCAAATTTATTGGAAAAGAAAAAAAAAAATCTAAATATTCATATAATGAGAAAAATAGTTTAAAAGAATTTTATTTAAGGATTTAATGTTTGATAAAATTACTTTTTAAATTTAACAATAGAAGAAATATTATTAGTATTAGTAGTAGTATTAGTAGTAGTAGTATTAGTAGTAGTAGTATATATATATATATATATATATATATATATTAATCCTTTTCATTTTATTGTTGATCACATGGAAGAAAAATACCTCAATGTTCAACATAATTAAAATTCCTCAACTCAAACATTTTTTTTTGGACAAAATCCTCTAGGAAAGAACAATAATGTTTTCCCCACTCCAGCTAGTCTAGGACTAGTAGAGAAGACAACAGGGAAAAACCATTTCACTATCCTTCCCAAGACATTGCAATTCACAAACAAAAGAAGAATATGTATAGAGCAATGAGTGCCTACATCCTGACTGGAAATGGCATTAAAGCACACACAAGAATACAAGATCATTAAGTCAGACATCCAAAAGTATTGTTCATGTAAATACAGAATAACATTTATTTACTGATGGTATTTAAAATTAAAAATTTTCATTTCAGATTTTGATGACATATTTGTTACATTGTCATACATATTGGAAAAGAATGATAAGTGTGAAATTTGGTGCACTTACCAAATACGAAGGTAATTTTTTTCTTTATCTACATTGTGTTCAGTGACTATAAAGTCAATCAAGCCTTACTCATCACCTGGTCAAAAATGTTCAAGTATCACATTTAAATTATTAGTAATGGAGCTTTTATTAAATAATTTCAGGTTACATTAAGTGTATTCATACTTTTTTTAAGTGGTCAAAAGCTGTATAAAGTAAATAGTTTTTAAAAACATGTAAAAATATTATAACTCATTTACTAACCAGTACTAAGTTATTATCTTTTTTCCAGTACAGATAAGTCTCTTGTGTACCACTTAGAACAGTGGAATTTGGCTTGTGTCTATATTCCACTGAGCAGCTTTGAAGCCAATGGACCCTGTGTAGCAGATTCAAATTATCCTGGAAACCACACAATTGAAATGCTCAAGATATTCAAAAAAAATACTTGAAGATAAACAGTTTCAGTTTTGGACTTTGTAATGATTCGAATAACATGATGAGCTTGTGAAGATTTCTCAACACAAAATGGTAACTCATCCATTTGTATCTTTATTCTTTGTATGTAATAAATTTTTTAATTTCTGATATTAAAAAGGAATTAGGCTTTCTAGATTGGGAACAAATATATGCCCACTTTCTTTTGGTAGAAAGTGTATCTCTCTCTCTCTACGCACACACAAAAATATAACTATCCTTTAATAATTATATGTATGCATCCAAACATATATGCACTGTAGAGGAGGTTAGCATAGCATAGTTTTATGCTATTAACTGAAAATTTGTTCAATAGAAAATTATAAAGTGCTTTTTCAGTAACAATATACATTTTTTAAGTTTAAGGAGCATAGATCCTTTGTGGGAACCTATTAACTTTTTTCATGCATGCTGGTTGTCACCATATCAACTGATGAGAAAAATGATTCTCTTAAAATTCATCTTTTCTTCACTGTCACAATCCTATCATTAATTAAACCTAAACAATGCTATAGGTAATGATAAACTCCACTTTCTTTAAACATTAAACTGTTTTTTTTTTCATAAGAGGACAAACATTAAATTTGGTAATGAAAACTGTTGGTTTGGGATGGGCCTTAATGGATCTGAACCAAAAAAAAAAAAATTCTAATGCTTAAATAGATAACTTGACAAAAATAATTCTCTGTGTTATTTCATCTTTATTTTTTTGTTTCTTCAAATCCATACTTTCATACCAATGTCTACAATTTTGGATACAACTTAAAAAGTTGTAAATTGTTCAAAAGACAAATGAGAAAAAAAAATTATCCAATATGCTGTTATTTTATGTAAATCTGAGGTTATAACTAAATAACCAATTTCTACAGTAAACAAATTTTACTGAGTTTACAAATAAATTTGAATATAATGAAACTATTTGGCTCTTGCTTTTCTAATTAAAAAGAAAAGAGGACTTCAAGTATCACTCGAGCTAAATTTAACAGCCCCACATTTCAATTCTGTTAATATACTTCAAATTGTTTCAAGATATGTTATACTGTATTGACAATAACCTAAAATAAAGTGTCCATTCCAAATCAACTGATAAAAATCTCAAACTTCTATTCTCATCATAAGATAAAATCTGGATTCTATTTAAGAGAACTCAAAATTTGTAGTCCCCAATATTTATAAGAGGAAAAATATGGTGAAGATACATTTAAGTTCCTTCAAAATAAGCTATGATAAATTCCTAAATCACATGTAATAATTGCCACAAATGCATAGAAACATTAAGGAATTTAAATAAGAGATTATATGAACAATAAAAGGAATACTTTACAGAACTCAATGTTGTAGTTGCTCACTCTAAGGAATCAGACAATAATAATAAAATAGTAAATTGCTTTCTCTTAAAGTATTAAGAAATTTATAAAAACAAATAGACATTTAATTCCTAGATCTCAAAATGTGCATCCTAGTTCTTACATTTTACCTTTCTTTGTGAATCTATTATCATGTGGGATACTTAATACCAAAAGTGATAAAAAGAAAGTAAATTAAATTAGCTAGACTATATATTCAAACACATCTATAAAATAAATAAAAATAAAAAATAATTTAATTTCAAAAGTTCAATGTCCCTTGACACGCATATATACTTACACCAACTTAAATATCACTTTAATTTGATGAAGTCCTAAAGGATAATAATTTCAGGTTACATTAAGTGTATTCATACTTTTTTTTTTTTAAGTGGTCAAAAGCTGTATAAAGTAAATAGTTTTTAAAAACATGTAAAAATATTAAAACTCATTATAACACACCATACAAATAAATTGGAAAATTAAAGAAATATATTGAGATACAAAATTTGAGAAGAAAAATGTTTATTTAAATTTTCAAATTTATTTATAAAATTATTGCATCTCAGTTGGTTCACCTCTTAATTGTAGATTTTATAAATTTAATAAAATCTTTTCTTTATATAAATGATATCATCACATTGTACTGAGTTTTTTATATTTTTATAATCTTGTAAATAAACATTGCCAAGGGTGGCAATGTAGTATGCCAGTAATAGCAGTGTCAACAGAAAAATCATCCTTTTGAAACACCATTTTTGTAGGTACAAAGGTTTAAAATTTTGTTTTGAATTTACAATGAAATCTACAAAAGATGGTAGGCACTTCTTCCATTGACCAAAGCATTAGTTAAAGGAGCTAAACATTGATTTTAATGTAAAGATTATATATTGATTATTTTTTTTTAACAAACCCAATACAGTTATTAAAAAGCAAATTCAAAAGTCAACTACTGGTTACTTTTTATCTTTTTTATTATTTTTATACAATATTTTTAAATTTTGTATTTTTTTTAAATAAAAAGGCATCAGTGTGTTAAAAATGGTTTCTGTCATGACATTTGTCATGTCCAAATTTAAGAATCTTCTTGATTTTACTCAGAAATTTGCCCTATATTCAGGCAAGAGAAGCTAGTAAAAAGTATATATTCATTTCTTTCTCTTTTCCTCCTGCTAGTTTAGCACTACTTCTCACATCTTCCCAAAAACAACATTCTGTAGTTAAATGTGCACGTCTATCTCTTATCAAATCTAGAATGAATGGCTGATATTCCAAAAATCAAATAACTTTATACCTTCCCATTTTACACTAACAAGTTGTACTCTTTGTAATTTTTGATTGACATTAATTTTTTCACTCTTGTTAAGTCACAGAATTTTCTAAAAAAAAAAAAAAAAAAAAAAAAAAAAAATTTTTACCATCACTAATTTTCAAATTTGCATATCCTTGAAGAGAATATCTTATTTAAGTTGTCATAATTCAAACTGAACTTCAAATTTACACATTAAAACAAGATGAGTACCAGATAAATCAAATTCTGTTACTTTGTAAAATGTTCTATTTAAGGACAAAGAGGAGGTAGTGAAGAGAAAAGAAAATGGTCCAAATATCTTTCAAACTGAAGTCTCTTGACTTGTAGGAATGTTTATAAAGCCCCTGAGGTTAGAAAATATTTGAAACATGACATTTGTTTGTCAAAGCTCAAATCCATTTGTGGATATTACAAGATTAAAAGAATTAAGGAAAATTGTTTCCCTTGCTGCACCATTATTAGACTACCTGTCTTTGGATGCCCTTTTTCTGTATCATCTTGCAAACAAAGATCAACTGCTTTTACCTTCCATTTTTTATATCAATAATGCTCTTTAGTTCTTCCTTTATATTCCTTTCTGGTTTGCTGGCTGCAATTTCAGACATCAAAATTTGAAAGTGAGCACCAAGTCACTATAGGGATGGATACATGGACGGACCTTGGCAAGGCATTGAATACATAAGCACCTTGTCTGTTGTGCTCATTTGTAGGTGGAGCAGGAGAGCCATGATAAGTATTAGATACACGGTCCAGGATTGCCTTACCTGCTCTTCTTGCTAAAGTGCAAAAGCAAATATTTGTCCTTTATGATTAAGCCAGTCAAACAGATTGGAAGCAGCCAAGGAATCATCACAGTAGGTGTTTTTTTTTTTTTATTTGGTGGCTGAAATATTAATCCATTCTTTTGTCATTCAAGCAGTGTCCAATTTCAAGAACATTCCTTTTGATGCTGACAATGTAAATTGTTGGCAATGTTCCTGTAAAACATACAAATTTAAAACTTTCAATATCTTGTTAAATCAAGAACAAATATGTATTTCAACTCAATTTTTCCATGATCTTTCATCAAATTGCACTTTAAGAATCTTGTGATGGTAAATTGTCATTTTGATAAATTTGCATTTGTTTTAGACAAATTCTCTTAAAAAATATATAATCTGAAACATTGTATACAAGTCATCCTTGAGAGATGAAAAAATTTTTAAATTAAGTTATACTTACTTTGAAAGGTAAAAGAAAATATAACCACTGTCTTGTCGGACTCTCTGCACTTCTGCTTCTGTAGTTTGTCTGACTTCTTTGTCATCAAATGAATACCACTTATCAGTACGAAGATCTAACACATCACTTAAATAATGTCCTATATTTAAAAAACAAAGAAACTTTAAAGTATAACAGATTACTCTATATTAGTATTGGTCTAGTTTGTTTTCTAGAACTAATCCAACATTACACTGTGATTATACCAACTGAGCAATATTTGCTTCAGACACTCAAACAAGGAAATGCAAATATGATAGCCTCTACAAAGAAATTCCAATGAAAGAAGTATCCTTGGGTCACATAACGTGTATTATGTGCGTATAGATTATTTACTGAAAAGTTCCTTGACCAACTTTTGTGATTCCTGTCATCACTTTTGTGATGTTGGACAATTGTCACTTTTGCTATGTCAAGCTAAATCTTGTTATCACTTCCAAAAATGTTTGTTTTATTTGAGCCTCCGTAGACGCCAGTACTAGTAGTACTTCCAATAATATCCACACAAGTAATACTTATTCAAGTAGTAATTGCCAAATAGTATAATGATCAGAAGAGAATCATAACCCATATAGTAGTAGAATAGAGAGAGTGAATGTATAGCAATGGTGGATAGACAAGCAGAGTGAAAAGTGATTGTATAGTCATCATGCTACTTCCTATTTATCTACTTCCTTTATGACCACATGATCTACTTAAAGGAATCACCGTGTTACTCACTGGCGATCTAGTTTCAAACCACGGTGTTGGCAATGACATTTACCTTTATACAACACCAACCAAGAATGAACTCGAGCTATAAAAAGCACAGGCTATTCTACACTTACCAAAGTGAACTTGCATAGTAAATTTGCAAGCAATTTAAAAAAAAAAAAAAAAAAAAAAACCCTCCACAAAATAATTGTTTGGCATATTGAAATACTGATTGTGAGTAGTAAAGCCAAGAGCTTTTCAGCACCCCTATCTCACACACAAACTGTTAAGCTCATACTCCTAAAGATTTATTCAGAGCATCTTAAATATCACAAACAATATCAGATCTTAAAAAATTAATTCT